ATCCGATACATGCGTCGAAAGACACCCTTAGCTTGGCGAGAATCGTTTAAGTGATTTTGGGGGTAATTTTTTGGGTATAAGGGTGTCTCCCGACGCATGTATCGGATCGGTCTTTTTTGTACTTTGTTTGTTAGTCTCGAAACTTCCTCCCTGCAAAAGAACAAGAGCGACAAATTATTTTTAAAAATTGCTTCAGGAATGTTCCAAACTTCAACCAGTTCGGAAAATTGCATTTTTCATGGTCTTTTTTCAATTTTTCCGTACTTTCCCCGCTGTTTAGAGAAAAACAAACTTTACCACGTAATTCTACGGTATGAAATCTATAAGAAACCATTTGTAGTTTTGGTTCTACACCATGGGCCAAAATCAACCTATATTAAACATCCTCCTTTTAGGTTTACTAAAATTATCGAAACAATTTGTTTTAGGTACTTGAATTTACAAAAGTTAATTTGAAAGAAAAGCGACTAGTTGATGCTGTTGACGCAAAAATTAAAAGACGAAAATCAGAGTACGCAAGAAAAAGCAGTAATTATGGGGTCCTCGGTCTATTTCGGCTTAGATAATAATTGTTTTATTTTATTATTCCTTCTTACAAGCAAATTTTTGTTGGAGCAAATATTTGTTTTCTTTAATTTGCAATAAAAAAAACAAAGAATGTTTGAAGATTATTTGACAACTTTATAAGCTTTATTGTCTATATTGAAAAAAGAATCGGCCCTGAAGTAAAGAATGTGTTTGGGAAAGTGTAATGTAACTTGCGAGAAAATAATTTTTGTCTAGAATTAAATAATGTAAAACAAAATATTTTGAACGTTTGTATGCTTATGCCAAAAATTTTTAAATATTTGAAGTAGTAAAAAACATAATATTAATATTTGCATTTAATTGTTTATATAGGTTTATCTGAGAAAGCCGTCATACATGAATCAAAAGTTGTATCTATCATATTATATTGTAAGCAATTCTTTACTATTGGCAATTGTCAATGTATCGAACTCACAATTTTATTAGTTAATATTTATTTATCGGTAATAAAAGTACATCTAAATTTCACTAAGAAAAAGTCGCTGTTTTTCCGAAACACTTAATTTATAACAAGTAGCAAAATATGATTTCTTCTACCGATTCGATGATAAAAAACATTCTTGAAATTATCGTCGTTTAATTGGTTCTATTTTTGGATAAAGAATATTGCTTATTTAAAGTTGTAAAAACACATTTCATGAACGGGGCACAATCTTACACTGTTTTAACTTACACTGTTAGATCGCAGCAGTCTTAAACAATCCGTAGCAGTCTTGCGACATTTAAAGCAATTCAAGAAATCGACAAATTCGAGATCATCTAAAAGAAAGAGAAATCGACAAACTAGGCAGATCGAGCGGTGGAAAACAAATTATGGGGCACATCTCTGACGATATCTCTTGTAATAAACATAATTTGGTCAATTCGTATTTTTAATTTGCTGGTCTTTAATTTTTCTCTAATCACGCAAGACAAATGAGCAATAACAGATTTTGCCACACATTTGGACAATTACTAAACCGCCAGCAATTACTCGACATTCGTTATTGTGACACACGATCATATGTATATCGAGCTATCGAGCTATCGAAGTTATTTATATCTGCTGCCATCAAATTAAATATCATCTTCTATCGACTAGTGCAGTGCTCGGAATTAGTCTGAACATTTTAGCCGATTTCCGTGGTATACGCCACCTTTCCTCTCCTTACCGCGCGCGCCGCAGCCGCTAGGGCCAGCGCCGCCGAGCGTTAAGAGCGACACTATCTGATTATGAGTGGGTTCTTCTCCCCTATTTTATTAAAATTTAAAAAAATGTATTAAAAATTTTATTAAAAAATAAAATTTTTTTATTTTTTAATTTATTAAGTGGAAATATTTCAATAGATTTCCACGTCACCCATGAGATACTAATGCTGACGCGTTTTTTTAAAAGTGGTTTCCCCCGTAGACCTATTCCATTAAAGATAAAAATAAATTCTTAATTTAAAAAAAAATATATATAAAAGAGATTTTCTTAATTAGATTTTCTTGGCCTTTTATGAGAATGAACAATTGATGCAATAATGTAGATAGAAACCACTTTTTGAAAAACGTGTCAGTATTAGTCAGTATTATCACCCCTCATGGGTGACGTAGAAA